CCGCCGGAGGCTCCACTGGGTACCAGCAGGAAACGACCCAGTGAAGCCAGGTGGGCGGCGCAGCCAGATCTCCTCGTGCAGGCTGCCCTGTAGGAAGGCTGTGCTGAAGTCAAGCAAGTGGAGCTCGTAGTCACGCTGAGCAGCAACGTGCAGCAGTACCCGAGGAGTGGTCATCTTCGGGGTAGGGGAGAAGGTCTGAAAGAAGTCAACTCCCTGTCGCTGACTGAAGCCACGTGCAACGTAACGCGCCTTGAAGGCAGGCGGGGAACCCGGCGGCCGCTTCACCCTGAAGATCCACATGCCACTGACGATGTTCGCCCCAGGTGGGGGAACCACGTCTACGTAGGTGCCTGTGGACTTCCAGGAAGCCATCTCTGCGTCCATGGCTGCCTGCCACTGAGAGGAGTAGGGACCCTCTATCGCCTCTGCGTAAGAGCGCGGGGTCGGCATGTCTAGTGCATCCGGGTCTCCCTCAGGGGCAAGCAGCATGGACACGAGATGAGGTGAAGCAGCGGCAAAGCACTCAAGGTCCTCCTGTCTGTCCTCAAGGACGTCCGTGCCAAGAGCACACTCACCCCCGATGGACGGAGGACAGACAGACGCAGACTCAGCAACAAGACTAGCGGCGTAGTCTAGGCGACAGGCTGCAGCAAAGTCAACGAGCTCAGTAACAAGAGCAGACGCAGCAGTGGACTCAAACAGAGGGTCAGTGACAGCAGTGGCCAGAAAGCGCGTGACAGTAGGACTAGCAGCACGAAGGGAGTCAGACTCCGGGTCCGGACCGTCAGGAAGAGAGGACGCAGGAGGAGAGGGCAGAGGGACACGCTATGAAGCAGTAGAAGGACGCAGTGTCATAGAGTGAGTGCCTGGGACAGGAGGAAGACGCGGACGCGAAACAAGACCAGCGCGAACAGTGCGGACAGGCGACGCAGAACGAGACGCAGGCGACACAGGACGAGACTCAGGCTCACGACGCTCAGTAAGACCTCTAGTCGGACCAGAGTAAGGAGAAGGACCAGGCAGGGGAGAGGCCGGCTGTAACTGCGACTGGGACTGGACAGGCGGTGGACTCAGGAAAGGAGGAGGAGGACCAGGAGAATGCGGGGAGCCAAGAACCTGCTGAAGGAGCGGAACGTAGGACGACCGCGGCCGCGCAGCGCCTCCAGAAACAGCAGAGACATAACCGGTACCCTCAGCCCCAGGGTGTCCAGTCCCAGCAGCACCTCCAGCAGCTCCAGCACCAGCACCACCTCCAGCAGCGCCAGCACCTCCAGGAGCTCCAGCAGCTCCAGCACCAGCAGCACCTCCAGCAGCTCCAGCACCAGCACCACCTCCAGCAGCGCCAGCACCTCCAGTAGCTGCAGTAGCACCTCCAGCACCTCCAGCACCAGCAGCACCTCCAGCAGCGCCAGCAGCACCTCCAGCACCTCCAGCACCAGCAGCACCTCCAGTAGCTCCAGCACCAGCACCACCTCCAGCAGCGCCAGCACCTCCAGTAGCTCCAGTAGCACCTCCAGCACCTCCAGCAGCTCCAGCACCAGCAGCACCTTGACAGCGCCGAGACTACCACTCACGAAGCCGCTGTGGAGAGAGGGGCTCCCGCTGTGACGGGACACCTAGAGCACCTCCAGACTCAGCACACGCAGGCTCAGCACCTCCAGACGCAGTACCCTCAGGCGCCACACCCCCAGGCCCCGCACCCGCAGGGGAAGCACCCCTAGCAGCACCTGAGTCGACAGCTACCTCGACCGGCTCGGCAGGGTCTACCTGGGACACACCTGAGGGGGCAGGATCCTGGGGGGGGAGGGGGTCTACCTGGGGAGTACCTGGTGCGAGGAAGAGCGGCGGGGGGGGGGGGGAGAGGCAGTGCGGTAGGGAAAGAGACGGTAGTACGACACCGACTCGTCGAACGTGACGTCCTGAGAGGACAGAACACGACGCAAGGTGGGGTGGTAGAACTGCCACCCGGGTGCGTTAGGAGGGAAGCCAAGGAAGACACAGGGAACGGCACGGGAGGACAGTTTGTCCGCGGTAGTATCGCGGACAAAAGCTCGAGATCCCCAGACACGAAACGCGGACGCATCGCCAACCTTCCCCGTCCACCGCATAGTAGGTGTGGTCTCCGGCAAGGAGACACGAGGCAGAAGGTTGATCTGATGCGCCGCGTACTGAACCGCGAACGGCCACAGAAAATGGGGAGCAGCCGCATGGATCATGGACGTACGAGCGACCCTTGTTACCTGGTGAGTGGAGCTGACCTCGAGTAAAATGGGGACACGCAGGTAACAATCACCCTCAGTAATATCAGCAAGAGCATACATGGCAGCAAGGATAGCATCAAAGTCTAGATCAAAGATAGGCACATTCTGCAGAAGCAGATCATGCCAACGAGGAAGCTCAACAGCGTCAGGAAACTGGGTACGCCAAGCGTCAGTCAAGCGGCCGAAGCAGCGCTGCGTGGTGTGTGGGAGACCACACACCTCCCCACTATGAGTGCCTGTGCGAAGAACATACGTGCAGGGACCTGCACCCCCAGACCTCCCACGCCCAGCGTACCACTCACGAAGCTGCTGAACAGACGGGGTCTCACGGGTGCGCAGCTGCTGCTGACGCTGGCTGCCACCAAGGCCTCCACGCTGCATGGCTGCACCGCGACCAGCACCACCTCCTCCGCTACCTCCACCACCGCTGCCGCCGCCTCCACCTCCTCTGCCACCGCCTCCACGGCCTCCACTGCCGCCACCGACGCCCCCACTCCCGGGACCACCACCACCTCCACCTCCTCCACCTCCTCCACCGCTTCCTCCACCGCCCCCTCCACCACCCCTGCTTCCCTTGCCCTTGCCAGTGCAGCGTCGCCCACTAGGGGCAGACGCAGCGCCGACCTCCTCAGTGCCAACGAGGTCGACAGCAGCAGCAGAGGCAACAGAGGGGAGAAGGGGGACAGGGGAACACCCCTCAAAGAAGGGGGTGCGACGGTCGCCGCGAGAAGCACCGACAGCTAAGATACTCTTCTCAGCTGCAGCAAGGCGCTCCTCTAGCAAGTCGACAGTCAGCTCGGTGGGGCAAAGGGAGAGAAAGTGATCCCTGACTGAGGAGAGAGAGTCAGGGAGGCGGGTGACTAGGTAGTAAAGGGTGATGTACATGGGGGGGGAGTTCGTGGGAAGAAACTCAGTGGGAAGGGCAGCGCGGTAGCGAGCGTCACTAGTGCGGAGGTGAGCAACTAGGTCAGCAACTGTGGCAAAGGCGGCAAGGTCAGGAAAAAGGTACGGCAGCATGAGGCGGCTGAGGGCAGCAGTGGTAGGGGAGGAGTAGCGTGCAACTACAGCGTCGTACAGAGCCCTAGCACTCTTGTACTGACTAAAGTGTGTGCGCTCAGTAGACGGCAGGTGATTATGCACAGCAAGACGAGCAGCAACATCGCGCGTGAGCCACTGCGAGCGAACAGTACTGTCAGCATCAGCAGCAGGGGCAGTAGAGGCGCCAGACGTGAGATCGAACAGTGAGAGACCATCCTTGCTATCGCACTGTAGGAAAAGCTGCAGATCATCTAGCCAGACCTCAAAGTCAACAGCTCGACCCTCAGCATCAAAGGTAAGAACATTGAGACTAGCCATGACAGGAGCAGCAGCAGGCTAACAGCAGCAGCAGTGCAACTCGGCTAAGCAGGCTAGGCAGGGCGGCGCGGCTCGGCAGGGCGGCTCGGCAGGGCGGCGCGGCTCGGCAGCGCGGCGCTCTTACCAGGGGCGAGGCCGGGACAGGGCCGGGGTAGGGCCGGGGCCGGGCCGCAAAATATCCGGGGCCGGGTTGGGGCAGGGCCGCGACAGTGCAGGAGCAGGGCAGGGGCAGGGCCGGGGCAGGGCCGGGGCAGAGCCGGGGCAGGGCCGGGGCAGGGTCGGAGCAGGGCCGGGACAGGGCCGGGGCGAGGCCGCGACAGGTCCGGGGCAGGGCCGGGGCCGGGCCGCGGCAGTGCAGGAGCAGGGCAGGGGCACGGCCGGGGCAGGGCCGGGGCAGAGCCGGGGCAGGGCCGGGGCAGGGTCGGAGTAGGGCCGGGACAGGGCCGGGGCGAGGCCGCGACAGGTCCGGGGCAGGGCCGGGGCTGGGTTGCGGCACTGCAGGAGCAGGGCCGGGGCAGGGCCAAGACAGGGCCGGGGCGAGGGCCGAGGCAGGGCTGCAACAGGGCCGCAGCAGGGCCGCGACAGGTTGGGGTAGGGCCGGGGCAGGGCCGCGACAGGGTCGGGGCAGGGCCGCGAGTCGCGTCGCAACGGGGGCCGCAAAGGGGGGGGGGGCTGGCGGGGCCTGACGGGGCCGCTAACGGGGCCTGACGGGGCCGTAAACAGGGCCTGAAGTGGCCTTACGGGGCCTTACGGGGCCGTAAACGGGGCCTGACGTGGCCTTACGGGGCATTACGGGGCCTTACGGGGCCGTAAACGGGACCGTAAACGGGGCCTTACGGGGCCTTACGGGGCGTTACGGGGCCTTACGGGGCCGTAAACGGGGCCTGACGGGGCCTTACGGGGCCTTACGGGGCCTAACGGGGCCTTACGGGGCCTTACGGGGCCTAACGGGGCCTTACGGGGCCGTAAACGGGGCCTGACGGGGCCTTACGGGGCCTGACGGGGCCTTACGGGGCCTGACGGGGCCTTACGGGGCTGCGAGGCGCCTGGCTAGGCCGCAACGCGGCTGCTTTGGGGGCCGGCGATGGCTCTAAGGGCAGGCGCAGGGGCCGCTACGGGCCTCGAAGGGCAGGCGCGACGCGCGCGTCAGGCAGGTAAGAAGAAATTTCAGTGGTGGGCCCTTAAAAAAAAAAAAAACTCGAAACTAGCTCTATACCATGTGAGATAATTGACGAAAGAATGAATGAACTAGGAATGGGATGGGTACAAGTAGGAAACACAAAAGTGTTGTACCCTCTAAGAACTACCCCACTACAGCCTAAATAGACTATAGCAGATATAAGTTTGACATATGGGGCACTTGCGCGAGACACACAGAGGTTCCTACGCCTCCTAGGCACCCAGGTGGCCAAGAAGAAGTATAGGCAGGGGAGGCTCACGGCAGTGGCCTCAAAACTCACGGCCCATTACTGACAGCGCGTCTCGGTGATGCTGCAACGAAGCCAGGCAAACATGTTGGCAAAATCTAACAGGGCAACAGAGAGGGCCTTCCCCCAGGCCCCGGCTGACCCATGGGAACCCCGCCTGGGGGACTTGTGGCAAGTCCTTGACGAGGACTTGGACTAGGGCCCGCCCCTAGGCATGTAAGGGGCGGGAGTGAAGGCTCCTAGGCAGGGATAACATGCACAAGGGCAAGCCACTCACCATCAGGTCCAGGGTACAAGCCATAGGCTTCATGTTTACATTAGCTAGCATGCTTTGACATAGGGCCACTCCTTGGGCTGCCTCTCATGCCTAGTTGTGCTGGCTCATTCATGTATTGCTTGCCTGTACCCCGTATAATATCAATGAAGGACTGCTTGAGAGAGAGGCCTGCCGCTGGTAGCGCCGGGGAGAGTTGCGCCGGCGCCGCGACGACTCGCGCTCCTGCTGGGGCGCGGGAGAATGGGGGCGAGATAGGCGGCGGTCTGGCGACGGGGGACGAGACGGCTGCGCTACCAGCGCCGCCGGCAGTGCGGCAGGAGCAGGTGGGTCCACGACCGGAGCCTCAACCATCGGGGCCGGGCCGCCAGTGGTGGCGGACGCCGCCTGCGGGGACGACGCAGACACCAGCACAGGCATGTCGGGGACAGAAGCGGCCGGCGCAACGGGTGCGTCAGAGGCAGGAGCAGGGGGATCAGCAACCTCCCCAGCAGGAGCAGACGCCGCCGGCGCAACCAAGGGAGCGAGGGGGACAGGAGCATCAGCCGGAGCGGGCAGAGCAGCAACAGGGGCAGCCGGGCCAGTCCCGCTCACGGGATCCGCGGGTACGAGGGGAGGAGTCTTTCCAGCGACTGTTGTCACAGGCTTCGGAGCCGGCGGTAGAGGGGGCTTCGTTGCCATGGTCACCTTTTCGGGCCCCGACGGAGGCTTGGCGACGACAGCCGACCAGGCGGCAACGAGCTCTGGCGACGACTCAGGAGCTCCGGCAATCACCATCGGGGGAGCAGGGGGGTCGCGGAGGCAGGAGGCTGGTTACTAGCGGGACAGGCGGGGGTCCGGAGAACGGGTACCAAGCAGCGGCGAGAATGGCTTTAATGGCGTTAGCAGCAACTAATGAAGAAGAAGATCTAAGGGACCCATCTTATAGGGAAGAATCCCTCCCACCAAGCGAGGACGAGGAATCGGAGGGAGAAGGCAGGGTGAGAGAGGCAGAAGGGAGAAGAGCAAACGAGGTGGGCCGCTCGACCATGCGAATACCGCAAGCGGATCAGCGACCGTCAGATGCTGATCGAACGGGTGGCAATCAAACCACCGACGCACCAACACGGGCGAGCCGCGGTCGACGAAATCGAACCGCCACTGCCAACACCGCGACGCGCCAAACCATTCTGAACCCCCGCTACTTTTCGCCCGACGAGCTGGCGAGGCGTGTGGACTTGTTCGCGGCCATCGCATGCTGGGACATTGCAGCTCTCTGTGACAGTCGACAGCCTCCGCTGTCACAGCGTTTACCGCCAAATCTATGCTAGCTGTTTTCGCAGGCGCTTCTGACACCGTTACTCCACCTCTCACGAAACCCCGAATCCGAAACGGGCTGGCGTCTGCTGCTATTTCTCCCTCGCCTAACACTTCGCCAAACCTCGCCACAGCGACCAGACTGGCCGGGGGTCAAGGCCCGGCTCCGAGCTTTCCAGCGTGGCGAGTGGGAACAGCTGTACCTGGACACGGTGGACGCGGTCAATACACCCCCACCGCCACGACACCAGCCTGACGCGACCGGAGTCATCAGCCGAGCTGAGGGGCTCGCGAAACGGGGGAGCCTACGCCGAGCCGTGCTGGCACTGGAGTCAACGCCGGTCTGCACCCCCAGCCCGAAAATATTGGAGGAGCTTTGCCAGAAACACCCACCTGCTGTACACGAGGCGGTGACCTGGCCTGTGCCACCCGAGTCGAAACTGTCCATCACCCATGCCGAGTTTGCTAGGATTCTGGGAAGATGCGAGAACGGGGTGGGGGCCGGACCTTTTGGCACAACATTTGAGCACATGCGCGACGCGGCCACCACTAACGCAATGATTAGCACCCACCTGCACGCCTTGGTCAACACCCTGCTGGGGGGAAATTTGCCAGGCCCAATCGCGAACCTCCTGACGGCGTCGAGGCTGATAGCCCTGGCCAAACCTAGGGGAGGGGCCCGGCCAATTGCGATAGGCGAGTGTTTGACAAGGCTGACAGCCAAGGCAGCCTTGACAGCCATAGGGGAAGCTGCCCGAGAATATTTCCTGCCACTTCAGTACGGCGTGGCAGTTCCAGGTGGAGCAGAGACGGTAATCCACACAGCTAGAGCATTTCTGGATGCCCGCCCCAACTGCCTGGTCCTGCAAGCGGACATTTCAAACGCTTTCAACAGTATCTCGCGACATGCCATAGCCACAGCGTTACACGACCCAGAACTCTCGCCACTGCAGCCGTTTGTGAAACTGACCTACGGTAACCCGTCGCAACTGCTCCTGGACACGAAATTCAACTCCGAACCCTTGCTCAGTGAACGGGGCGTGCGGCAGGGGGACCCACTCGGCCCACTACTGTTTGCAGCAGGGATACACCCCACGCTCCGCGACAATGCAGAAGCACACCCCGACGTGCTTTGCTTGGCGTATGCGGATGACGTCACCTTCCTGGGTGACCCATCCCGCACTGTAGCGGCCTTCATGCATTTCACAGCCAAATTAGCGCAGCTGGGCCTGACGCATAACCCTCAGAAATGCGCGGCGTGGAGTTCAACCACAGTCACACAGACTCAACTTCCGCCCGGGGTGCCGTTTTCCAAGGACGGAGTGCGGCTCCTAGGTAGCTACGTTGGGACTGACGCCGGAGCAGCCGAGTTTCTTTCGGGCCAGCTGGAAGGGATGGCTAAGCCATTACCGCTGATAGAGCGAGCTGACCCTCAGGTGGCAGCACTACTCCTCACGCGATGTATCTCCAAGCGTGTAGCTTACCTCATTAGGACGACTCCCCTCCACCTACTCCCTCGCACCACCTGGAGCCAGTGGGGAAGGGACCTACTCATAACCTTACTCACCTCATGCGACATCCGCGCGCCAACGTGTGGCGCCGAGCAAAAGCGTGTCTGGGAACAAGCGTCATTGCCGACGTCACTTGGCGGCATAGGCATAACGGACCCGCTCGTAGAAGGGATCTACGGTTTCATAGCGAGCTTCACCCAAGCGGCCCTTTTTCTTTCCTCCCTCGTGCTAGAACCAGACAGTGCGCTGACGCTGGCCAAGAACCACATGGTGGCGCCCCGGGACGACAGCACCCCCCTACATTCGTGGCTCACGGAGTGCGAAGCAGCCCTGCCACTCGACGCGCGGGAGATCTTGGAGAAGGAGCGGTTAGAGCGATCGGACGTTAGGCTCCAGCACGAGCTCGGCTTGAGGTGCACGGGAGCAGATACGCTGCGCAGGTCCAGGCAACTAGGAATATGCAACCAAACCCTCTCTCGGGCCATACGCAGTGGATGTTCTCGTTGACTGGGTATGGCACCGGGGACTGGCTGACGGCGATCCCAATCGAGGCCACTAGACGAATCGGCCCTGTGCACTTCGCAAACGCCATGCGGTTTCGGCTGGGCCTCCCCTTTTCCACGCCTAAGAACTGTGACTGCGCAGAACGGACAGCCATCACAGATCCTCGCCTCCCGAACCACCTCCTCCACTGCGGCACGGGCAAGCATCGCATTAATACCCACATGAGCTGCGGGATGCTTGCATTAGCATGGCGCAGCACGCAGGCTTCATCGTTCACAGCGAGTCGGCTGTTTTCTCTCTCTCTCTCTCTCTCTCTCTCTCTCTCTATCTATCTCTCTCTCTCTCTCTCTCTCTCTCTCTCTCTCTCTGTTCTAATTGTTATTTGATAAAATGCATACCTCGCTTGCTTGGGCCCATGCCCTTCCGCACGTCCCCTCTCTTAAGCTCCCTGCCACTCCGCCTTTCTATTTGTATTTGTCCTCATATGTTCCATGCTTCTTCGTGCCCTTTAAGGCCTACCTCGGATAGAGCCAAGGCTGCCCATCCTTGCTGTATGCAGCGGCGGCGGTTCGAGTGAGAAACATACGTTGTATTTTCTCCTGCTCTTTCTCCTCCTCCATTTCCTCCTCTTTTTTTTTGTTTTTTTTTTTTATCCTTCACAAAGCAATGGAGGTTTTAAGGGTCAAAATCCTTTATCTCATGGGCCATACCTTTTTATGTCTAGTAGCATGCTCTTCATCCCATTAATTGGGGCATACAGGGGACCGAGAGGTTTTCTTCCTCTTCCCCAAAGCTAGGCACATGGCCATTTCTTGCTACCCTATTCTAGGGCTGGCCCATGGCCACCGCACGCCCTAATAGGCTGCCCATGGTCTAAGCACTCGAGAGTGCACCGTGCAAGACGCCCAATGGCGTGCTTAGCCATATCCCGACCCCTACACGACGGGTGCGGGTCCTTGGCCTCCCTTCCTGTTCCGAGGGCAGGCGTTGGCGACGTGACCCGGCTGGCCGCAGCAGGAGCACGAGCCATGAAAGCCGTGGAAGCTGCCTGAGGGCGGTGGGCCACGCTTTGGGGCGAACGCCAATTCGCCGTGGTTCCCACCGCGGTTGGAGCGGCCGTGAGCGCCCGCCGCTCGGTCCATGGCAGCCACTTCCGCGACTGCTTGCTTGAATGGCCGCGAGGTGAGCAGGCTTTTCTACAAGTACATCTTGTAGCGCGTCGGAGGCGTCCTTGACTTGAAACATATCGAAGCGCCCCGAGATGTCGTCGAGGGCGGCGACGACCATTTCGAGTCCGCCCGCCAAGTCGCCGTGCTGCAACTTGTACTCCGCGTGTTTCAGGTGGGCCCTCATGTCCTCCAGGACCTCCGCTTTCGCCCGCACGTCTGGGCGGTTGAATGTCGCTGCCGACCATGTGCTGTTAGTGGTAGAGGGGAGAGGGGGGAGGTGCTCCATGGAAATAAAATTTGAAGCATGGACGGATCCTCACCGTTGTCGTCGTCGGAGTTGTCGGTGTCATTGTCGGCAACTGGCGCAGATGGGATGTTGGCCGCTGCTCCCTTGTCGTGCCGGTTCGCCGTTGTTCCTCGAGCTCCTTTTTGTATTTTTGCAGTTTCCTTTTTTGCAGATGCAGAGGCCGCGGGTAGTGCAGTTTCCGCAGCTATAACGCCGACGGGCTGCTGCTGTAACAAGGACAGGAGTGCGGCGACTTGGTCAGGGGTCAACGCCGAGGTCAACTCCGAGGTCAACTCCGAGGTCGTCGCGTCAGACGAAGACGCCGTTCAACGCCTCTAGCGCTAACGCAACGGTCCAACCAGAGGCGTTGGCGCGTGCTTTGTGTCAGGCGCGTGTGGCGCCCCAGGTGCTGCATGCGTTTTCGTCGCCACTTGCTCCACGGGTGCCTCAGGCGCCACTAGCGCCACAGAACCCAAAGGGTGCTGCTGGATGGGGGTGCTCGCGTTTTTGTTGACCTCGAGCCCGCCCAACAGTACGTCCACTGCAGTCAGGGCGGGCGATCCTTCCTCTACCGCCCGCTTGTTAAGGCAATCGCTCGTCAATTCTCGGGCGTTACGGTTGAAGTCGGAAGTCGGGGAGGACGAATTGCTGTGGTTAAGTGTCGACGTAGAGGCCATAGTTGAGAGATTGTAGCTGAAAATGTCGCGCAATATTGTTGAGGGTGACACACCTCTAGGGAGGCTGCGAGTTCTAGCCAGGTTAGGTGGAAGAAAAAACTATTGGAAACAAGTAACTTAAACGCTTCTGAAGTATCGAACTATCGACACGAAACGAAGCAGACTACAGTGAAGCAACACGAGTCAACAAAAGCAACCGCTGGAGGTTACGCGAAGGTCAAAGGTCGCTGGCCACAGCAACTACAGTGCGACATACAAGGACACATATCTGACTCGATACTGAGCAGTTACCCAAGTCGGCACTGTATCGAAACGCAACAGCAAAAACAGTTAA